CGTAGTAGCACTTTCTTGACTCTTCTTGATCGCCTCTTATGGTGACGACCTCGTTGTTCATCCCAAGCATTTTCAATGCTTGGTGTTTGGTGGAGATCAGCATATCCCATTCATGAATTGTGGGCCGACCTATAATTACGTTGTAGGAAGACGAGGTGTCCACTACAACGAAACGAACCCTACCAGATCGGAACGAATCCTTCGTGCCCAAGGTCAGTTTTAGGTCGATGTAGCCTTTTGGAGGGGATGCCGCTCCATTAAACCCGACCAGCTCAGTGATACATGGCTTCAAGTCCTTCTCGTCCAAGTTCATCATCTGGAAAGCGTCCCAGAGAATGATGTCAGCTGAACTTCCGTGGTCAATAAAAATTCTTTTGACTCGGCAGTTGACTAGTACTCCGGTGATCACCAATCTGTCAGTGTGTCCGGGTACAACCCTCGCTAGTTCCTCCTGAGTGAAGAACAGTCTTGGGGGAGCCGGCTTGCCGTCCTTTTCTTTAAAAGTTGGCCTGTCCCTTACCGACATGACCTCTTTTAGGTATCTTCTCCGGGCGTTGGCCGAGTCTCCTCCTCCTCCTAGGGCTCCACTTATCACGTTGCATTCGAACTCGGCTTCAGGAAAAGCGTCATCCTTTTCATCGACCTCTTTGCCTTTGGAAGGTCGGTCCTTTCTTTGGTCCTTTCGATCCTCTCTCTTTGGGCTTCGACTTCGGCTTCGGCTACTTTGTTTGCGCTTATTATTTTTCTTGCCCTGTGTTCGGATGATATACTGCTTTAACTTTCCCTCCATGACGTGTTTCTTAATTGCATCCCGGAGGTCCCAACAATCATCTGTGTAGTGACCGTTTTGGTCATGGAATGCGCAGTATTTGCTTTTATCTAACCCGAACTTGGCTCTGAGAGGTCAAGGTCTCTCGACGTTGCGCATTTCGGTATGTGCTACCTCTTTCCATATCTTAGATCTAGCCATGCTTAAGGGTGTATAGTCATCATATCTCCTCCTTGGTGACCGGTCTTCCGACCTTTTATCACGAGTGTCCTTTGCTTTTTTGGATCCCTTCTGATCCTGATCTTTGTTGTTTTTCCTACTCGGGCTCCGACGAGTAGGGCTTCGTCCTCGTGATTCGACATAAACCTTTTGCATGTCCTCCACGTCAATGTATTTGTCCGACCTTCTCCTGAACCCCTCCAGATCGTTCACCGGGTTCTTATAGATGAATCTCGCCAATGGGGAATCACCATCCAATCCCGAGATGATTAAGTGGAGGTGCACTGCTTCAGTTAACCCGCGTACCTTGAGGGCGGCATCCTTGAATCGGTCGAGGTACTTCCTCAGCGATTCGTTGTCCTTCTACCGGATTCTTCCTAAAGCATAGGCTGGCATCGGATGCACCCTGCTTGTTGCAAAGTTGAGTCGGAAGGTCCGAGCTAGGTCCTCAAACGAGTCGATTGAGTTCCTAGGGAGCCTGGTTATCCAAGTCATCGCTTGGCCAGTCAGCGTTGTCGCAAAGATCCTGGCCTTAATAGGTCCAGTGATCCCGTTAAATAGCATCTCGGTTTTAAAAGCCTCTAAATGGGCTTCTGGGTCCTGACTTCCGTCGTATGGAGGTATTCTGGTGCCTTTGAATCTCGGCGGAATGGCCAAGTTCATGAGCCTCTCCGTGAATGGGCTATCATTAGCCTCTTCATCCTCCAGATAATTTTCGTCCTGGTTGTCGTTCGACCCACCACCATTTCGGTTGTTACCGAGGTTAAGGTTCTGCCCATTCTGGGCGTGCCCTTCGAGTGGGGCCGCGTTCAGTTGCCGCGGTCCTCCATCGCCAGCATTGTCGGGCCTTCTAGGTCGTTCTCCAACATTTTGATGCCGGAGGTCTTCAGCGTTCTGATGCTGGGTGCCTGCGGCGTTCTGAAGTACGCCTTCCGCATATTGTTGGGGAGGTCGGTTGTTTGCGACCCCTCCGGTTCCCCTAGTCTGGCCTTCCGCGTTCAAAGTCCTCAGTTCAGCCTCCACCGTCGCCATCCTTTGTGCATCCATGCGCTGCTGGGTCAGAAATCTGTTTTCCATCTCTTGCAACCTTTGAAGGATTGCTCCCATGGCCATGTTTGTCACGTTTGGTGGCTCACTGTGTGGAGGCTGACGAACTGCCGCAACTGTTGCGTTCAGCTGGGGTCTGGGAGTCGGTCCTTGTGTGCCGACCTCGCCGACCTGTACCTCAACCAGCACCGGGTCTGGTTCCAATTGGGGCTGTTCCGACGCAGGTTGGTGTTGAGGCATGCCATAAGGCTGAGACTGTGGTTGACGCGGAGGCATTTGGGATGTTCCCGACGTCGAACGTGTGTTCGTCATCGTGGGGTGGGAGTCGAAATTTACGGGTTCCCACAGACGGCGCCAATGTTCGGTCCTGGATAGACCGTATTGCTATACCGTAAGGTATGCGCTCAGAGATAGTGTATATCAAGTGTATACTAGGCTTACAGCCGAGGTCCCAATCACTGCGCACAAGCAATAGGCTTATAGCCAAGGGGTGAGTGTGTGCACAGTGTGGGCAGAAGTAATAAATGAGTTCTGAAATCTTACCTAGGGTTCTTAGGCTCTTATTTATAGGATTACCTTCCCAGGATTGTGCCTCTGAAATCCCCCCATTGTAGCTGGATTCCCTCTTTCTGTTGGGGTGTGATCCTTATCTCATATCCTTTTAATTGTTTGAGGTTGTTGAGATGTAACTGATTCAATATCCCTCTGGATATTTTACTAGGTAGTTGGGATATGATATTCATATCCATAACAGTTTCAAATTACTTTTAAATTAAAATTATATAGAAAATACGTGTTAAAGAAAATATTTCTACTTTTAATGCCTCGAATATACTCAGCAGCAATATCAAGAGTGCATTTTCAATAAATTTTTTTGAGTTAATATCATGTCTTTTTATTTTTGAAACAAAACAATGAGCTTTTGATGATAAATCACCAATCATGCCCCACCAGTTCTGTGTTATTCCTTTAAGTTAATGCAACATCAACATTCTCATGAGTGAATGCGACATCATCACATAATCGTAGATGCGATCGTGGGCATAACCACTGCTATGGTATGTATGTGACCGCAACAATATGATGATCACTACTATAAAGCAAAATAAGAAAATGGAGGGAGATGTGCGAACGAAGATCATTTGCATCAACAATCCTCAAATAATTCTAAAACTACTTGTTATAAATGTGGTATGACCAACCATTGTCACATACGTTTCGTATACCTAAACACTTTGTTGAACTTCACCAAGCATTGCTGAAGGAAAATGAAAAAGGTGCAGAAACAAATTGAAAATGATCCAAAATTAGACATAGATACAAACCTAAATGTTTTAGATTCCCCTCAGAATATTGATAATGGAAACGTCCATCCTAACATTTAATTATGCATCAATACATATCTATTTTTCCTTTTGATCAGTGTATTTTCTTTATATATGTCTTTATCATGTCCATTTTAATATTTAATTATGTATTAAAATATTTCAATCATCCCTAATACTATATTTGGGAGGGATTTAAAGCTTTAATCTTGGACTCACTCCGAATTGGACTATTCGCGAAACGATGAACTAATTAAAATATTTCAAAAAATATATATTTCAATTATATGTTATTTTTATTTGATTATTATTTATGTTGTCCTTCAAACTCTATAATACAACTCCATCCCTGAAAATAACAATAAAATAAAATCAATAAGTCTATTTTAATTTGTTTATATGATTATTTATTTATATAATTTACCTATTTTTTAAAAAATATAAATGAATGCCTTTGACTTTAAGATGAATGATGGAGATCCTTATGTGATTGTGTCGTGCAACATCACACTATTATGAAAAAAATATAATATATTTTTCCTAGCTTCAATTGGCTAAGAGCCTAGGACAGCCATTAACATAATTTTTGGCATTGTAAATTTGATTGAACGTTCCGGAAGAACTTTGTATTATGTTAGCTCGAAGAACAACATTACTAATAAGTAATAAGTGACACATTATATTTTATTAGATTCAGTATAATTTTACTAAGCTTTAAAGATATATGTTACAATGGTTATTATATTGAAACCATGAGTGAAAATAATATTGAATACATACACATTACAACTTCTAGATTTGGCCAACAAAATTGTATAGCAAAAAATGAAAAAAATTTCTTGTGAAATGTATTGCATATATATATTAATTCAATATAAATTAATATTGGTTTTAACAAGAAATTAATTGACCAAAAAATATTTATCCTTTGACATGAAACATTGGGCATCGAAATACTATAATTAAGGAAAGTACTATAGTACATATGATTATTTTAAATTAAATTAAAAATAAATACATTCTCATATAACTATTTTTTAAAACAAGTTTTTTCTAAAATAAAATTCATAATATGATATATTTTTTTTAAAAGTACTGAGACTGTCCCACGACAACATACACGGCCCTAAACCTAAAAAATTGTAAAAGCGAAAATTAAAGCAGCCCCAAAATAAATGGTTGCATGTTCCCGACTCCTTGCATCGTCAAGAGGCAATGGTAGCGGTCAACGGCTTTTCCTTGCATCTCGCGCAGTTTAGTTTTATAGGGTTTGATCAATATTAATAGGGGATGAGGTGGGCCTACATGTGGATTTGGCCCATGAGCATAAAAATGAAAAACTTTACCTTTGAAACCTTCATTCGAAAGATAAAGGTAGAATGTTGACCTGAACAGTCCAATCAAAAGTGACACGTAGATTGACGTATTATTTTATTTATATGAGTCGATCTTAATATGCTGAACTAATAACCAGTCAGTAACTATAATATCTTATTATGATTTTAATGTTAAGGGTGTAATTTATTATATATTTGTGTTTGTTTGTGGTTTTGTGCTTAAAAAGCAGGCTTGCAGCACCCATCAGTCATATCGATACATGTGTATTTTTTTAAGCACGAGGAACCCTCTCATTGTAAAAGCAGAAAATTAAAAGGAAATCCAGAATGTACCTGACTCCTTGCGCCGTCAAGGGACAATCACAATGGTCTCCAATCACGATTATGGCTCTTACTCTTAGCTTAAAAACAATAAAAAAGAGAGAGAGAGATCACTATCTGTCACACCCGACACGACGCATTACCAATCTAATATTCAACGATGATATCTGTCGCTGATGCTCTCCAAACAATCCTTAATGTCTCCAAACGTCTTCCACCGGTCACGGTGTCCCTTCACGATGCCCTTGGCAAGGTGTTGGCTCAGGATGTTCGTGCCCCTGACCCTTTGCCTCCTTACCCTGCTTCTGTCAAGGTTTTTCATTTTCCCCCATGTCTTCATTTTCTCTTTCTCTCTTTCTCTCTTTGATCAATGAACCAAAAATGGATGCTTTTTTTGCTGCAGGATGGTTATGCTGTAGTTGCTGCAGATGGGCCAGGGGAATATCCTGTAATTACTGAATCAAGAGCTGGGAATGATGGTCTTGGTGTTACTGTCACCCCTGGAACTGTCGCCTATGTAACAACTGGAGGTTTTCATTTTCATAATATATATATATATTTATTTATGTCATTATCTTCAATTTCTTTGTGTTTTGTGCTTGTAATTAGGTTTCATGTTTTTAAGTATATGTTTAATATGCACAAAGAATTGGGCTGTGCCTTCCTGCTCACTCAAAATTTTCTTGCTTTGTTGTGTGGCTCAGGACCCATACCTGATGGTGCTGATGCAGTTGTTCAAGTTGAGAATACTGAGAAAGTGAACAATGTTTCGGATGAGCACAAGAGGGTGAGAATATTGGTGAAAACCACCAAAGGCAATGACATACGTCCAGTGGTATGTTCTTATTGCTCCTATCTACTCCTCTAGGGTAATTCTCGTGATAATATTGAGTACATTGCATACTTTGTTTGATGATTGTTGCATCTGCACCATCATGTTGGACATTCCCATCTTAGAGTTGCTGATTCTTTTTCCAGTCATACTATACAGACTCCATAATCTTTGAATCTTTAACCAGTGAGTGTAAGGTGTTGTGCATTTTACTTGAGTATTACGTGAGACTTTTCAGCCCGAAATTATTTCTGGAGGATCATCTTATTTGGAACAGAACAGCCTTGTTTTTATAGTTTCTTTGGGCCTCTGCTAATGATCTCTTTGTTGGATTTATTGACCTGTCATGCAAAGATATTGGATATTGCTCTTGAGTTGATGCTTCTCTCTCTCTCTCTCCCCTTGAACGAGACAGACCAAGAATTTAAAGGGTGATCTTTTTTTTTTTTTAATTACGGAAAAATTTAAATTAGGTGATGGCTCGCCCCCATGCAAGGCTAGAGAAGACCACCAACCTCATTGAGGATGATCTTTTAGGTCCATAAAGAGTTACTAAATCAATACAATTACAGACACAAAATTTATTTATAGGTTAGATGCAACACTTCCATGGGTATGATTATTACAGGTTTATCCTCACTGTATATTTAATATGGGAACCCCCATCCTATTCTAGAATAGTGTTAGATGCATATAGGGCTGCCTGTCCGAGGATAGGGTTGAGGGTTGATTACCTTTGTATTTTCGCAAAGAGATTGTTTTTCAGACTCGAACCCATGACCTTCTGGTCACAAAGGAACAACCGTATCACTGCTTCATGGCTTGCCCTCTTATAGTGGTAGATGCATCTTGCTAGTGAAATATAAATTGTAAAACTTTGTTGACGTGTCTTCTTTGTTTGTAGTTGTGATTACAAGAATCTGATGATATATATGAAACTTCAACACCCACCACCCCTTACTTCAGATATGAAGGGTTAAAAAGGCAATTGTGTTCTGCATAAGTTTGCTTATATTTTAGGGTTATTGGTCGCACTGGGGCAGGGGTAGCTGCTTGATGCCTTGAGAGACAGAGTAATGCAGACATAATTGATATACATTCATAGAGAAAATATAACTCACTGTACATTACATAATCATTTATGACATCAAACATGAGGCAGTGCATTGTTCACTAATTTTAAGTTCTCCTTATGCATAATATAGTATATTAGTATTGAAATTTTGCTGTTTTGTTCCCTGCTTTGTTGTATTTGATGACCTTTGATTTTGTAGTTCATCTAGAAAAATTCATTGACAGGGAGTTGATATTGAGAAAGATGCAATAGTTTTAACATCTGGAGAAAGACTAGGTGCTTCAGAGATTGGCTTGCTTGCTACAGTTGGTGTAACGATGGTCAAGGTATTCTTTCAGAGAGTTCCTGGAATCTGTAATCAAGCAAGCTTCTCCCCATACTGGCACTTATTTTGTGTTTGATTCCTTACGTGGGGGCACTTTGATATGTCCTTTTATATTCACATTATATATATATGTAATGATAGGAAATAATGCTTTGATGCAGGTGTATCCTACTCCAGCAGTTGCCGTTCTTTCTACTGGAGACGAGCTTGTAGAGCCAACTACTGGGCATCTTAGTCGTGGTCAGGTATTGTTGTGGAGAACTAGGACTTGTAAGACGAGTTCGTAATTTTTTTGCAAAGATGCTTAGCAGGAACAATAATTTTAAAAGTTATTGTGGAAGCTGGTGATTAGACTTGACTAAAATTCCATGTCAGCTTCAAGGCTTTTTCCTTAATGTAATATAATACGGATTGACTATAAATTGAAGTTGTCACTGAGTAAGAAGAACACAAACAGGGGAGGCAGTGGCTTAAAATAAATTGACTGAGAATGTCAATTTGGAAATATTCTTTAGTAGGTCATTAACCTTCCAATGCGGTTTGGTGTTCCCACCACTATTTTCATGTACTAATACTTATTAAATCACACAAAAATGTTATAATATTTGGGATATATTACTAAATCATAATCTGAATCAACCTAGAGATATTAAGGACATTAATTTGGATGCTTACTTGGATTTTAACATGAGTAGTATGTTGAAGAATAAGGGTTCAACTAGCCATGTAAGTTTTATAGTGCAGATTGTTAGTATGTATATGGACCTTTAATGCTCAATCAACTCACTTGAGACTGCGCAGTTGAGGCTTAAACCGGTTGTGGCACTTGGATTCTTATAGATATGTGTTTTTGGTGGTAAATTTCTAGCTATGTGCAAATATAACGTTTTGAATTTGTTGGACAACGTAGCCCTTGTTTTACCATGTTATTCAACTAGCCATTTGTGGTCTATCTGTATGGATTTAGATTTTAGCTGTAGTTTAAAAGAGTTGCTTGGTAAATGTAATTAAAACGAATGTAAGCTAATGCAGATCCAATGCAGATTAGGGACTCTAATCGTGCCATGCTGCTAGCAGCTGCAGTACAGCATCAGTGCAAAGTTCTGGACTTTGGTATTGCTGAGGATAGCGAAGAATGTCAAGGAAGGATTTTGGATAAGGCTTTTGCTTCTGGAATTAATATTCTTCTAACTTCCGGTGGTGTTTCAATGGGAGACAAAGATTTTATCAAGCCTTTGCTTGAAAAGCGAGGAAAAGTACATTTCAATAAGGTTATGTCATGCTTTAATCTGATTCTGATTAGTTAAAAATATTCTGACGTCCTGTAATTTGGGTCATCAATGCTATGTTTATCTTGTAAATGTAGAAATAATTAAGTTAAAGATTTTTCTTTCTAATGCTTTGGTGAGTATGATTTTATCAATCATGTTATCTTAAGTTAGGAATTATCTATCTTTCAGGTGAACATTAAACCAGGCAAGCCATTTACATTTGCAGAGATTGACACTCAATCAACGGAAAGTAAAATTCTAGCTTTTGGGCTACCTGGAAATCCTGTCAGCTCTTTGGTTTGTTTCCATGTCTTTGTGGTCCCTGCAATACGCCACCTCGCAGGGTGGACAAATCCTCATCATCTGAGGTTAGATATATACAATTGCTCTTAAGATGCTCTCTTGCTTTCACTTTGATTCATTTAATTTCTTTTTGGTGCAGGGTACAAGCTCGGCTTCGTAAGCCCATAAAGACAGATCCATTTAGACCAGAATATCATCGCTCTGCCGTTATATGGACTGACAATGATGGAACAGGCAGTCCTGGGTAAGTTGATGGTGAATTATTTTGTTCTGGTCTGGGTCTAGCATTCCTGCATGCAGATCTGTTATCTCTATGGTGCGCGTGGTTTTTTATTTTGGGTTTTGATCTGGTCCTTCTAATGAACGGACTTTTTTTCCTGCCCGTGAGTTTCAGTTTTGTTGCTGAGAGCACTGGTCATCAGATGAGCAGTCGACTGCTTAGCATGAGGTCAGCTAATGCCTTGTTGGAGTTTCCAGCAACAGGCAGTGTAGTTTCTGCAGGGACCCCTGTGTCAGCTATCATAATTTCTGACCTAAGACCCATGGCTTTTGGCGAAAATCATGTGTCATCAGACTCGGCCTTAGCTTTGTCAGGAACTAAATCGCATAAAATAACTACAGACTCTTCAGGGGATGCTGAGTTCAGAGTGGCTATTCTTACAGTCAGTGATACAGTTGCAGTGGGGGCCGGGCCAGATCGGAGGTAATGATCTTCATTTTATATTTTATATGGGTGAATGTATAGGGCAAAAGATCAGGACTAGAGAAGTTTTATACCATATTTGGATTTGTTTTTTTAGAAAGAAGAGCACTTCAGTTGATTGTTGTATTTGACCAATTTTGAATGGAATTTTTTATTTTTAAGACAAAAGCAATAGTTTTTGCACTTTCTAGATGAAGCAGCTTCTAGATGCTTCTAATGAAATCTTGCCAAAGCAGAATTTTCATGGCACACATTTTTTGTTTGTTTGTGATACTGATACAAGATTAAAAAAGTTTAATGAGATATTGGCCATATTCAACGTATTTGTTCTTGACCTACAAAGTTAATAGGAATTTTTGTTGTTAATTTAGTGCATGTAGTTTTACTCTTGCAAACCAAATAAAAAATTTCTGTGGATGCTAAAGCAATGGAGCACTGTGGCGTTAGTTCTCTTTATAACAAAATCTTGATATGGTATCTCATCTACAATGTCGTTTGTATGCGATTGAAACTTGAAAGAGTCATATGAGCCTGTGGTGTCATAGTTGTTAAAACATCTTCTTCCCAGTTGGATAGGGCTGAACAGCATCTAGATACACCTCTTTGAATCATTGTTTGAAAGAGGTCACAAAGTTGATGCCAAACTAAAGAGCAAACTTGATATTAGCCAATGCCAAAAGGGGCATTGGATGTACTGAGTGTTCTGCAACAGTCAAGTTTTGAAGATAAGAATTTCTGTTTTGTATCTTCTGTTTTGGGTGTGGATCTGCTGTAGTGTAGAATGTTCTATTGATAGCAGAACTCAGCCTTCCTATTATTGAGATTTCACACATCGTATGTATAATACTCGAGGTTTATCAGTATTTTATGCATTTGGTAGGAGTTGGACTTTATTTGTTGCTATCTTCTTTATTCTTCATTCTCTCTGTTTCTCTTACTGACTGTTTGCCTGCTGCCTTACAAAGTGGTTGAGGAGTTGTGGAGCCTTTTTTCAAATTTTACCCGAATCACCGTGAAAGGAAGGGGATTTAGCCTTTGGAAGCAGAGTGGGGGGACTAGTTTAATAACACTTAGAAAAAATATGTATGACTGATCAAGTTGCTCTAGAATCTGGAAACAGTCTCTCTGTCATCCTTAGGGTTATGTATTCCTTCTTTTAGCCTTCTAATCGTGCATGTTACTACTTGATTTCAAAGGAGTATCTCTTTGTGCTGAAACTCTGGTTTCAAGTTGAAACCTTCAAGGAAAAAAGTTTATGCAAGTCAACTATTAGAGTTGAGGCCTGTGGTCTTTATCTTTGAATTGTGTGCATTTATTAAAGTGAAGTTCTTCTAGAGATTTCCCCAAGCCAAAATAAGTGGAACAAAATGGATAGATTGTCCATACATTATAAAAATGATTTAAAGTTTGTTATTAGTATTTTTCCCTTTCCTGACATAATAAAGTTGTTATGCATAAAACTATCTAGTTTTATGAGAAATCATGAGCTTTTCCAAGTGAAAAAAATTGATGTCATTTATGTAAGTCAGCCAATGTTTTAAAAACCAATCCATATATGAAATCAGGGAGATCTCGAGATCATGATTCGATTAGTTCAACTGGTTAAATTTGTAGTTGAACCATGATTGAACTAAATAATATATTAAGGAGTAATCAGACCAGAGACATAGCATTTTCATGGTTTACTTGATTCAACCAAGTGGTCTGGTATGGTTTTTAAAACATTGGTGTCAGCATCAAAGTGTGCTGACTCTTTTGCAATTAAACAGTGGTCCCAGGGCAGTTTCTGTTATTAATTCTTCTTCAGAAAGGCTAGGAGGAGCAAGAGTTGTTGCAACTGCTGTGGTTCCAGATGATGTGACAAAAATTCAGAACATTCTAAGAAGATGGAGTGATATTGATCAAATGGATCTTATAATTACTCTTGGTACATTTCTATCTGACTTACCAGTTTCTCTAAAAGATTTGGAAAATTGCAGTTTTGTTGAATGACTTCCATTTTATTTTTGCTTTGCCAATCAAGGTGGGACTGGCTTTACCCCACGAGACATAACACCCGAAGCTACAAAACAGTTGATTGAGAAAGAAACACCTGGTCTTCTGCATGTAATGATGCAAGAGAGTTTAAAGGTATGGACAGCTATGCTTATGTTAGTTAGATGAGTAATTCTAGTTATGTCTTTTGTGTTTTGTGGTTTCTCATTTTCTTACCTTCTTCAGTTTCTTTTTATATCTGTTATTTTTCCAAATTAATGTTCAAAGAACTCAACCGGCCTAATTGGTTGGGCTGGTTAGTCTGCTGTCAGGCTTTGGCATTATGGCTACCTGACTTCTTATATCATAAACAGAAGCCTGTATAGAGAGTCAACATCAACAACACCTTTATCTCAAATTAATTGGGGTCGGTGATAGATGAACCCAAATGAAAGGTACGAAGGGATAAAAATAAAATAAAATAAAATAATAATATGTATAAATATAAAAGTAAAAATGAAGGGGTGTAAAAAAAAAAGAAAAAAAAAGAAGAAGAAGAAGAGGAAGAAGAAGATGGGGAAGGGGAAAAAAGATAAAGGAAAAGAAGGGGAAAAGAAGAAGAGGGGGAGAAGAAGGGGAAAAAGACTAAAAAAGGATCATCTGGAACATAGGAATAACAACGGGTTTAATCCTCCACCATGCTAATAGCTTTTCTCCATTCCGTTCTAAGGCACACCGTCCGCCAATCTATATCCCACTCCATTAATCTTATTTTACTACCTTTTCCCAAGTAAGTTTTGGTCTACCTCTACCTTTCTTTGTGTCGAGCTCTTGGTAACAAACTTTTGTTCTTACGGGAACATCCAGGGTCTTCTCATTACGTGCCCAAACCACCTCAGTCTATGTTATCTCATCTTTTCAGCTATCGGTAGTAATGCTACATTTTGCAAATATAGATAGTAATGCTACATTTTGCAAATATTCACAAGCTCCTTGCAACAATATTTGTTTGGAGAAGTAATAATTGAAACACATTCTTTGATTACAAAGTAAAGCAATGAGTTTGGTAAAAAAAATAAAAAATGAGTTTGTCCGGAGCTTGTGAAATTAATGGAAGTAGCTTTGCTAATATTTATTATATGTTTAAAGGAAGATCAACTTCTTGGTTTTTTAATTTTCTCTTCAGCCTGTTTGAATGATGCAATTTTGTGCATGCTTAATTATGTTGACACCGTGTACAATTTTAAGTGACATAATTTATCTATGTCACTTAAACTGTTTCCAGTGAGACAGAATTCTCAAGTATCTTTATTATTGGTTGCTTTGCATAAATAGGTCACCCCATTTGCGATGCTTTCACGCTCTGCAGCTGGAATCAGAGGATCAACCTTGGTAAGACAAAAATGCCAATTATATTGACATCTAGTTTAAAAATATATGCATGGACTATGGAAGCTGGGCTTTGTCTCTCCATAGTTCCCCCTCCCCCTCATTTTAATGGTATAATTGGTATTGCTTTGTGACTATAGCTTTTCATGCATCTTACAATTATCTTTACAGAACAATGTAGTTTTTCATGTAAGATTGTAAATATGTCAATCTTCCCCACTTCCTCGGCCCCTCACCCTACAGAATTTCCCGAGGGATTGTGAATTAAGCACCTCAAGTGCCATGTTAATGCTGTATCATATCTAGTTAATTGATTGCTGTAAATAATGATCCAGACATATAACCTTAGTGTCTTCTAGACTGGTATATATTGGCTAAGTTATGGCCTTGATTTGTTGATATTCAGATCATTAACATGCCTGGAAACCCAAATGCTGTTGCTGAGTGTATGGAAGCTTTATTGCCAGCACTTAAGCATGGTCTAAAGCAGCTCAGGGGAGACAAGAGAGAAAAACATCCTCGTCACGTTCCTCATGCTGAAGCAATTCCTGCAGATGTGTGGGAGCAGAGTTATAAGTTAGCTACTGATGGCGACTCTGAAGTCTCTTGTAACTGTTGCAAGTAATGTTTAATTATATTTTCTCATTTGCTTCTCCCTTGTTCCCCCATCTATCTTTTTGGAGATGTATAGAGAGAGAGAGGTTCCGATACATGTATTCTCTTTTTCAAGTATAAGTTAATTATGTTTTGAATTTAATTTTGATGCTTTGTTAGCGTAATTTTTTTTTTTTTTTTACACTGTCATCTGATAGTTATATTCTCATTTTCAAGCAAATAGTTTGAGAGCTTGTGTTGTTAACTTAAACTCATTAAGTAACGTGATAATACATCATTGGGCTACAATAATGCATGTGAATTGAATTGTTACTTTTTTTTTTTTTTTCATTTGCTAGTAAAGTTAATTATATTTTCTCATTTGTTCCCCCCTTGTGCCCACATTTATCTTTAGAGAGAGATTTTAAGAAAGTCAACGGGAGGTGACATGGTGATACGGCACAATTTAAGTGTCTTATTAAAATGTAAATGGTTGTATATCAAATATAAAATACGGCTACAGTACAATTGATCAGAAATGTAGTTGTCAGAAGGCTTAACATTTTTAAAATGGTTCTATTCTTTTATTGAATTTATGCATTTCATGTATGCATGTACTTGGGGAAGGAAATCACAGCTCTTGGAAGTTTGATTCTCCATGAGATGATCTGAATGCATTTCTAGCATAAAGCCCAAGTCCCACAACCAGCAAGATTAGCACGATCAATTTCACTAGTTTCTTCCACTTGTTACCCCCTGCGTCCAAATCTCCAAGGGCTTCATTATCAACCTGGTTATATGGTCCAAAACTGAGGGCGAAATCTATAAGCCTTGTTTTGGATCTTGTAACATGCTTGGCATCTTTGGTTGTAGGAACTTCAGGGGTTGGTGCTTCTTGTGTCTCAGTTAAGCCATCAGTCCTGACTTCCTGGGCCACTTTGTCTATGCTAGCTGCTGTTTCTGTTTTGCTCTTCTCTTTTTCATTGCTTGGTTCCTTCTCTTCTTTCTTTGGTGTTGTTTGATCAGAGACTACATTATTAGTCCTGGCTTCTGCTTTGTCTTTTGCTTTTGGGGTATCCTCTTGAGCAGCCTTTTGTTGATCAATGTTTTGTGATGGCTCCTTAGGCCTTGGAGCTTCTTCTGGTGGATTTGTTGCTTCCTTAGGCTTAATCAGTTTGCCAAATGTGACAGATAGCCTGCCACCCTCAAACTTGGCACTCACATTGTCTCTGTCATAATCAGCAGGAAGTGGGAATTCCATGTTAAAACGACGCCATCTATTCTCAATGATCAGTCGTTCACCCATTAGCTTTAGGGCAGGTTTTGAGGTCACTTGAACCTTCAATTGATCCCTTCTATATCCTGCATATTGAAAGTAGATGAAATGTAATTTTTGGTGTAAATGAATTAAGTAAATGACTTATAATATGATAAATTAATAAGTTGATATAAATTAATATGATGAATTAAATGACTCTTGCATATTTTTGGTGTTCCTAAGGTAGTCTCATAAATGGGCTTCTCTTTTCTCATGTCACATGAGATATCATCTCTCATGTCATAGACACAATAAGTGGTGGGGCCCACCACTTACTAAAAAAGAAGAAAAACTAAAAAGATAGCACGAATTTCGATGTCTCACAACATGAGAAAACTATCTCCTATTACATAAGAAAATGATTTCCCCTCATAAATACCTTAAATCATTTTCCAATTTCAGAAATACTTCGCCAATGACTTATAATATGATAAATTGGTAAGTTGATATAAATCCAATGGGTTAGATTTGAAACATGAAAAACCATTCACCTGGTACCATAACAGTGAAATGCCCTTCATCTTTGGCCCATTCATAATATGGTTCGAAGTCTTCATAGACTCGATCAGCTGCTGGCTGTGTCCTTGAATCCATTTTTGCCTCTGAGTATTGAATTATTTGCATAGCTCGTGGTTTTTCTTTTATACTCATTGATGAGAGATATTTTAACTTTTGCACGCAAATTCCAGTTGCTAACATGCTTTATTACTTTCTTTTCGTGCAAACATAAATTGTTTCTGTTGGTGACCTTAGTCTGTCTGGCGCAAGAAAAATAATATGCTTTAGTAACATAGGAGGTGACCTCGTGCCTTGGTAATGCTATAGCCTAAAAGCTAAATTTTGGTCTGTATGCAAATCTTTATCTGACAAATTAGAGCGTTTCCTTCCAGCACAAGACATAATAGCTGCTTAGGATCCGTCTTATGGATTGGATCGGTTTTGGAAGCAAAAATTATCTGATCCAATACCTTCGGTTTGATCATTTAATCATCCATTCGGTTTGAATTTTTTTTCAAATCCGATCCAGTCCAATTTTTTCGGTTTGGATTGGATCGGTTTTCGGTTTTTTGAAAATCCTAAAATTTGTTTCATGATTATTATGCAAATAACATCTTTTGTATATATTGATTTTGTACATTTTTTTTTGAAATACAAAATCATCACTAAACGATAAAATAATTTTTTTTTTTTTGGCAATGAGATATGGAGCTCTACACAGATGAAATTTTGTTGATGAGATATGATTAGGTTTTTTTTTTGGTATAGTTGATAGGTTAATAGGTTTTGGATTTATAAATTTTTGGGCTATGATTGGAGAAAAAACCAAGTAGGTAGAGGAAAATTAATATATTGGATCGGTTTAGATTGGATCGGTTTTCATTAACCCATCCGAAAACCGATCCAATCCAATTAAAATTTGCGATTTTTTTTCGGTTTTTGATTTATTCGGTTATCGATTTTTCGGTTTGGTTACCGCAGTTTGAATCGGTTTGGATCAGTTGATAAACATCCTTGTATGTAATTGTCGTGTTGAAGTCTCAAAAAAAAGAAAAGAAAAAAAAGTACTCTTGTGTAATATTAACATGCGTCTCTTTGATGACAAGAAGTTCACATTAATAAGATCGTAACATACCCTTTTCCATCATGAGTCTATTGAATTAAGATTTACATTTATGTGCTCTTCAGTTACATTAAGATTTATAATAAGTTTTTGTATATTAGGCATAATATACTGGTCCAAAATACTAATATTACGATGATGGGATATTTTATACTAATAAAAAGATATTTTGCAAACTCACATACAAACTTTTAATCACAATCATTAGTTTTTTTCTTCTTTCGTTTCCACACCTCACATATTTTTTTTTGTGAACTGTGGTAATGTTTATTTTAGACATTATATACCATTTGATTTATAATGTCCATTGCTGCCTTTTTTTGCAATAAAAAAAGAAAATATATATTTACACCATTTAATATTTTTTTACAAAACTATCATAAATTTTATGGAAGTCATTGGAGAACACTTTGGTCATACTATAATTTATGTTGAATGATCTAGATGAATCTACCTTAAAATCTATGAAAAATTTGTAAGAATAAAAGTATATACGTAAATATCGTTATGTTTTTTTTGTATATTAGGGTTGGACGAGCTTATGAATTTGTATTTTTTAGGGCCCTACTTCTGCTACTAGGTAGAATTAATATAAGCAGATAACTTCATATTATGATTAAGTATCTTTGTCACGTGTTTTCTGATTGAACATCCACATGTTAATTCCATGAAAGCTTTAAAAGTATACTTAGTAGTTAGTACTATACCTTTTTTTTTTTTTTTTTTGGATATGACCGCTTATATCACAGGATATACCTATATTGTGACCATGCACTAACATATACATAAAAAGAATTTGTGGTTTAAAGCACACAATATAGCAATACTTGTTTTTGAACCTCAGTCTAAATGAACCATGGTAGGTGTAGTTGTTGTGATTTAATGGATTTTGGTGCGTAGATGCAAGTAGTCGTAGGACTCAAATCCTTGTATCTGTTGTTGCAGCGGTCAAACCCAGCTCCTTTTTATGTGTTTCAATTCATCTAAGTTGTTAGTGGGACTCTGCTTTAGCAACGAATCAGGAAAAAAAAATGCACTATGCATGCAGGTTTGAAAGTATTACTTCATTTGGTTTTAATTAGTTGAAGAATTAAACAATTCTTTTTTTCAAACAAATCAGTACTTTTTTTTTCAAATTTTATCACACATATTATATTGCTGTTATAATTAAGGAAAAAATATTTATTATTTTAAAAAACAGAATTTTATATCATAAAACGATTGCGTTTTGGTATATATTTGTTAATTTTTATATTTTCTATTCTTCACAATATATACTGTATTTTTCTCTCTCTTCTTAATTTTATAAAAAAGAGAAAAGGTAAAAAAAACTAACAAATATATATATCAAAACACAATCATTTCATTTAAAATGACAAAATTTTATGTCTTTTAAAATAATAAATATTTATTCATTAATTAAATAGGAAAAAGCTAGTTTTGAGCCTATATTTCACAATCAGGCATGTTGTTATACTCATTTATTGAATTTATGCATTTACAAGCATGAATATACAAATGGGAATTAAAATTCCTGGAATTTTGATCCCCCCTGAGATGACCTGAATGCATTTTTGACATACACACCTAGAACCATAACTAATAAGATGGCCACAATAATGTTCAACGTTGTCTTGGGCCTTTTAAGCCCTGTCTTAGTGTTACCATCCTGATCATCTGCTGTTCTCAAACTGAGAGTGAAATCTAAAACTCTTGTTTTCAATCTTTGAGTTATCTTTGCTTTTTGCTTTTCTTGTGTTTTAGAGGTTGTTATTTCTGCTGTCTCTGATACCCCATTAGTCCTAACCTTCTTCTGAGCAACTTGGTCAGGTGCTACATTTTCTACTTTATTCTTTTCTTTTTCATAACTAATTGGTTCTTTCTCTTTCTGTGGTGACTCTTGTTGATCTGTCTTTTGAGGTGGTGCCTCAGGCTCAACACTAGTTGGTTCTTTCTCTTTCTGTGGTGACTGTTGTTCTTGCTGATCAACCTCTTCTAATTCTGGTGGATTTGTTGCTTCCTGTGGCATAATAAGCTTGGGAAATTTGATGGACAGCATGCCACGCTCAAACTTAGCACTGACTTCATTGGCGTCACAATATGGAGGAATCGAGAATTCTTTAGCAAAACGACGCCATATATTCTCAGAGACCTGTCGTTCACCATTGATCCTTAGGACAGGAGTTGAGGTCACTTGAACCCTCAATTGATCCCTTATGAATCCTGTGTATGTTGAAAGTATACATAGAAGAAAATGTAACTTTGTTTAGGAAGGTTTAAAAAAAGAAACCTTTTTTATCCCAATTTTATTATGGGTTCTGGAATTAATGCATATAAATTATGTGCAGTAAGTTCAATATGACGTCATTTTGGGCAGAAATTATAGTGTTTTTGTAATTTAAATTTATTTCAGGGTTATAATAGTCTTTATATTTATAATTTTTTAATATTTCAATATCAAAACGACGTCGTTTTGAGAATAAATGCAGATAATTTATCTGCATTAACTGCAAAAATATTTTCCCCTTATAGTATATGGCAAAATTATTTCTACAGTTTGAATAGCAAAAATATTTTATCTGCTGCAGACACATATTTATCGGGTACAACGTGGATCCTGGTAATATTTTAAAAAAAAAATCAGTTGATTCCGTTTTTTTATCTGCGTCAGAAAGTAAATATCTGCCGCAAAAAAACCAAACCCTTATTATATTAATAAAATTAAACTTTACGCAATGAACTTATTATAAAAAATTATGAACTATTTAACCAAAAATAAATAAAAAATAATGGATCGGAGCTGAAAAGAAATTACCTGGTAGCATTACAATGAGCGTGGCACTTCCTTCGTCTTCTGCCCATTCGAAAAAGGGGTCAAAATCTTGGTAAACACGATTAGCCGCTGATTGTGGTGTTTGATTCATATTTGCCTTTAATCTCTTTGCTTTTGGGTTCTCTTATGTATTATCTCTTTTGTTGAAGAATGAAAGCTCTGTCAGTGTTGCTTTTATATGCATCTGTATAGGAGATTATTATGCATTTTGCACGCAAATTCTAGTTCTTGTAATAATTTTTTTTTTTTGCTTTATTACTTTCTTTTCGTGCAAGCATTGTTTCTCTGTTATTGAGTTTAAGGCTTTGATGGAAGAAAAATGATATACTTGGGTCAGGATATGACCTTGTCTTTTGGCGATGCTAAAGCTTCATAGGGATTCCTCATGCAAATCTTTCTTGCTTAAACATAAGGATTTTTTTTTAAATATATTTTTTCCAACGGATTTATTGAAGACTCAATTAATTCGGTTCAAACAAGTAGTCTCATCATATAATAGGTAATAGCATAAATTTGTTTATTAATGATTAATCAATTATATGATGACCTGTATTGATTGAAAATATATATAAGATGGATCTGTTTATATCATTGTAAAGTTTAATACCATTACGTTATTCAATAATTTTTATATAGAATACTATTTTATCGTATCCACATTTAAATATCAATTATTTATTATTTTAATTATTTGTGCCAAATTTTATAAAAATTAATACTTTCATATATTCCAGAAGTATATATCATGTTAAATATTGAAATTAGATGTATATCAATGAAGTATTAAATAATTTTAAATTAATATAATATTTTATAACTATGATTTATATAATAGAAACTTTCAATTCAATAACGAATTTTGAGACAAATTTATTCAATAAAAATTATTAAATGATGTATGAATAATTTCGCATATAAATTAATTCTTTATTATATAAGTATAAATATAACCATATATAGAGGTAGGATCCTTCGAATCAATGTGTATAAAATTATATATATATATATATGTATAAATATAAAATTTCGAATCAATGTGCTCAAATGCTTGAGTGTTTTGTAGCACAATCATTACTATTCTCTTTTGGTGAAATTTTAACCTTTTAAAAAAAAAAAAAATTAGGTCAGGGATAAAATGTATTTAATGATCATTAATTTTTTTGAACAAATGTAAATGTAACCCCTCTTTTTTATGGGAATAAAGAGGGAAATGTTTAGGAAAGAAGATATTATATATAAATTCCAAAAGATTTCTAAATTCAATCTGTGAGTCATGCAATCAAGTCAATAGATACTATACATTGTTATAACAAAAGAACGATCAAGTGATTAGAAAAAAGAACGATAAAGTAAGCCAACCCTTAATTGGAAGCTCAGACATCTTCTTTAGAGTGAAAAATGCGTGTCGGATATCGATATGCTCCAACATGTTTTGATATGCGGTCAATTTTTTAGACACTCGGTCAATACTTTGACACATATTTTTAATATGTGGTTAACATTTCGACACGTGATTAATGTTTTCTGACATTTTTTTTTTCTTGATCCAAAATTTATTTTATTTTATCATTTTAACTAAATATGAAAAAATAATTTATAAATTAAATATTTTTTGTTATGAAATTTGACATTAAAAATTAACAAGGCATATGTCGTGTCCCGTCTCAATGCAATATAACCTATTACAAGGTAGATGCAACATTTGTATAAGGCTATGCAATATAATTTGAATGTATTTAAATTTTACAAGGATTAATTAGTATTCCTTTTTTATATTGGAAAAAATATTTCTACAGCCACTTTAGATAAGGTTGTCTACAGCTACCATTTATAACTATGTTCTCCCGGGAGAACATAGTTATAACATTAAAGTTTTTTTTTTCTCTCTTCACGTCAGCAAACAAGTTCTGAAAAGTAACTGAGGAGAGAGAAAAAAAACAACTTTAATGTTACAAACATAATTATAAATAGTAGCTGTAGATAGCCTTATCTAAAGTGGCTGTAGAAATGTTTACCTCTTTTATATTATTATATAAGCTTTTTTTTAAGTTGCTCACAAATTTTTGTTTATTTTTATTTTTTTGTTTTTCACGCGCTATAATTTTCTTATTTTTCGAGGTTATTATTTTAAAAAATGAAGAAAATAAATTATTAGACAAAGTCTTCATCCACAATTCTAATGTTGAGAAAATAAGAAGGGGTTTGCATCCATTATGTAATAGGAAAAAGAGAGAGTTTTCTACATACACAATATTTTGTGGGCCTCACTTTTTTGGAGCAAAAAAAAAAACCTAGGGCATGAAATACAAATCTCTATAATATGACCACTTCACTTTTCCTACAACATAACTCTTATAAAATACAAATAAGAACCATGATTATCCCGAGTTTTATGTGATTATAATACATAAATTATGTTCTGGCAGACCCAAATGGCTGGTTCAAAGTCGAAGTCAATCACTAAACCCATGCCCAAAGGCCTCATAAGTCACCTCTACCTGTGAAGAAGTACGGACTTTTCCCCTTAATCCTAGGCTGAATCAGCCACAGTAGAGCCAGATACCACCAAGAAACATCCCAGCCAGCCTCCTTCTCCCTTATCACATTAAATGACAGCAGTGGCAAAGCCATTTGATTCCTAGGCACGCTGATTTTCAAAAAATGTTATATAATTTCTTTAAAAATTATGGTATAACTTTGGTATTGATTAAATTTTTAAAAATAATATAACATTGGTACTAGTTGGATTTTACTAGTTAGATCTTTTGACACTAACTGGGTTTTGTCCCGAGCTCCGCCATTGAATGACAATCCCACCACATTAAATGCTAAGGATCAACTATAAATACACCCCCTCCATGTGATAGAGAGGGATACTGAAAAAACACCATCTATGAGCCATTACTCCTATCTACCGAAGAATCTCATCGCCGGAAAACACTATCCCCACCCCTTTTTTTTTATTACTTCATAGTGTAAGGGAAGCTCTCAAGGGCCTTGGTTCATACCATTGTTATAGGAGCTACCCTATATTAAGATATACGCAGTTCTTCAGCCACTCAAATTGAAAGTAAACTTGTAGGGAGACTTAGTAGAAGAATAAAAATAAAATAAAATAACAAATCACAAGACATAATCGAAATTATATCTTAGATATTGCAACTAAAATCATCTCAACAGCTTAATTGGAAACACGTCTAGCAATCACTTACCTCTGTTTAATATCAAACAATATATTTAATCTGAAGGATACTAGTCTGAGTTGTGTCAGAATTTATTCATTGCATCTCTTCCTTATTAGCAGCACCCTCAGAAGCTGCATCCTACAAGTAGAGTCCAGCACAACATATAATCAATCATAAGATTTAATTAAACATAGGAAAATGAATGCTTGGATGCAAAAAATAAAGAATAAATAACTCAGGGTATAAGAGCTGAATTGACAACATCACCCAATAGAGGCTCGGAAGGGAAGAAAATATGACTACATATACAAATACAAGTTGCAGCAGACTTGAGTTTCCCTAACACAATTTGCATCTGTACCGGGCTTTTTGGCCCTAACCCAAAGGGGTAGGGCTAAATGGATTGGACTAATCCGTTTTGACAGTTCTACTTCATACATAATAGGTTATAGGATCCTGCTTGATGAGGAGTCTGCCTATCAGACCACCAAGGTCAAGGCCACAATTCGGGAGATGAATTGGAACATAAACAAAGATAAGACTTCAATTGATCTAAATTTTTGTTGACTATAAAATCATGCTTCTTTGATTGCAATTCCAACCTTGGATTTTTCACTAATTCCCTTATCATGAATATTATTTACAATTTCAATTAATTGCAATCAAATACTAAATATTGACGGAGATGCGAGACAGTTCTCATACAAAAGAAGTAAAATTAAGGAAAATTCAATTCGGATATAAGATGCGCTCTACAGTGCCCATAAATATTTATAAAACTAAATACATAACAATACAGAATCAAAATTTACAGAGCAAGTTGTTACCTATACCAGGTACTATACTTATAACTGTACAGCAAATTAACGAACCAAAAGGATGGGAACAAAATTAATAAATTAAAAAGAATTTTTCAATTCCTAAAATTTAACTCTTTTAAGTCTCCCACCTCCTATTTGCTACATTATATTAACATTCAATTCATTCACATATCATAACATTTAATGAGTAACATGCAGAAGCAATAAGCACAGAATATGCTTATATCTAAACTAAATGAAAACAGGAAACTTTCTATAATCTATTTTATCTATACATAAACATATGAAACACTGGAGGTTTAATCAAATTCACCCTTTGTTTCTTCTGCTTTGTCTGCATCCATAAATTTTTAACCTTTCAAGAAAGAGCCAAATTGTCACAGTGGTAACTCAAAAGAGTTCATTAGGCTGGTCTCAGACAAAAGAAAAACCAATAAGATAAAGGGAAAAGTGTCTATACTTTTAAATTACACAACTTACATCCTTTCACTCTCACAAAGAGGTGGGACCCACAACTTTATTTTTTTTTGTCAACTCTCTCTCCTCCTTTATCTATCTCTTTCTCTCTCTTAAAATGACACAACTTTACATCCTTCAAAATTATACACACTTTTCCCTAAGATAAAATATAGCTCTACAGTGTAAGTTACAAAACTCACTGATATAAAGTCACCAAATGTACGAAACTAAATACAGAACAATAAAGAATTTAACTTTACAGAGCTAGGTTATTACCAATATCAGGTGCTATCCTTGTACTATAATTGTACAGCAAATCAGTTGACCAAAAAGTGTGGAACAAAATTAAGGACAAATGAGAGTACTTACCCATGATCTTTTGTAATCATCGGTACATATTCAACTTTTCTTAGCTTCTACATCATGCTTGGTCTTTCTCACTCTCTTCATTTCTCACTCTCTTCATTCGTCTAGAACTTTTATTCCTCCTCTTGTTTGAAAACATATCTTGGTGTAGGATACTCCAGTCAAATAGAACCTTCCCACATAAGATACAAGAGCTGTAAACAAAACATTGAAATTCATGTCATGCGAGTGTAATTTTTTTCTCCAAACCCTACTATCTT